TTACACCATGTTTTGTTTTGTGTTCATTTTGTGACCATCCGATAACCGATAGCGATCCGGACCTTCTCCTGGGCATTCTTCGGCGTCACGGTGAAGTGCAGCTCTGCCACCGCGTTGTTGTGCACGGCGCCGCTGACGCGGAGATTGCGCCATGGCTGCAGCACCAGCCGAGCGGTGCCCGTGCCTGGAAACTGGGCTGGGGGTTGTGATTTGTCGGGTTCTTGGTGATTTTTCGGGCAATTTTGATTGGAAAACAACATTGCTCAGAAAATACAGCAACTGCCACTGTAGGATATAACTTATACAAGGCCTAGAAAGGATCATTGTGAAGGTGCGCTTAGCATACGGAGGGTAATAAAGAAACATTTTCTATAACTGGAAATCTATGCTTTCGCATATCACCGTCATATAATGCACCAAACCCTTCAAAACAATGAGCGGGATGCGCAATCCATCTGGAGCCGAGTACGCCGATCTACCAAACCACTTTCTGGATGTTCTTTGAACCAATCCGCTGTTGGGGGATTCAAATGTTCTACGATTTCATTGTAAGATTTTTCCCGAGGCGCGCCCGAGCGCAGGGTTTTTCTCAAGAAACACCTCACATCTTCACATCTTCACATCTTCACGTCGTCGCATCTTCACATTTAGATTTTCTCTCTGCTCTCTGCTCTCTGCTCTCTCTAGTCTCTTCTCCCTTCTCCCTCTCTCCCTCTCAGTTATATTTCTACTTACGTTTAGGTTTTTCATATTTGTTCATCATAAGAGTTTAATTATCACCTGAGTAATTGTGCTCCTCTACAATCTCCAGCCATCCGTCGTTTAGTTTGGGGTGTGACTCGCATATGGTGCGACGGTTGGTGAAGTCAGCGGGGCGGGACAGGCTCTCAGCCAGCTATTCTACCGTTTTTTTTGTGAATCTCAAATTCTTGGTAGTGTCAAAAGAACATGAAGGTCATACAGATGAACAAATCCGCAATGGAGACCGATCATTGCAAGAAAACAGGAGAAAACCAGACATCTTTCGAGGATTGTTCCCGCTTGCGCACTGTGAAGGATTCTACAAATTCCAATCTGCACATCTTGGCATCTGCTCCACCGATACTCGATGGCTCTAACACTGGGTTGAAACGAGGCAATGACATGGGACTCGGGCCCCAAAGCACATCACAGAACATCAAGTTGCTAGTGGAATTGCCCAATTTATCCACTATCCGTCACTATCCGTATATCCAATATACAGCTCCAGAATCTCACAGCTCCGGGGTTAAATGCAGCTCTCCAGCCTTCGGGCGACCATTGAACCTCCCAGCTATCTACCGAAGGTTGCGCAAACTGCGGAAGCTTCTGAAGCACCTGGGGCAGACGTGGCGCGTGAGCAAATCACCACAAGTAGCTGGTTAGTTATCCTGATGGTGGCTCCCTCAACTGCGCTTATCCCATTTATAGCTAGAACTGCGATGGTTATCAATCGATCTTTGAAACAAATCCAAGCAAACTGGTTTTGGTGCGATCTTCTACTGGAAACAGAACAATTGTGGTGTCAAACTGAAGTGTTCTGACAGCACCGCATTTTTGAACCCATCTGATTTTGTCATCGGCCACACCAGCAGCTCTCAGCACATCTCCGCACCCAGTCCGGCCAGGCACAGAAGTCTCCAGTTGCATCTCTTCAGTGCGCGCGGACCATAGAATGACCTTCCCCCAGTGCTCAACCGGTTCAACCACTTTCGGACATGAGATACGCTCAAAACATAAAGGAATCCTTCGAATGCTCAAAACATCTGGCTATCCACAGAAACGGATTCAAATGTATGAGTTACTGTAACTGTTATATATAGCAATATATAATCTACAATATATATATATATGATATCTATATCAATATATATATATATATAATCAACTGCAACTGTTACTTTGGATCAACTTGGATGCACCTGACCATCCTGCAGAATTGCAGCAGCGGTGGCTGCATCGGTGTCCCAGTGCGGAGACCACGCCACGTCACCTCACTTGCTGTGCCCAAAACACGGGTGAAAAAATGTATCCATATATGTATATACAGTATATATATATTTATATTGGTTATGTGATTTAGTATATATATAGGGGTATATGTGTATATGTATATATGTATATATGTATATATGTGTATATGTATATGTATATGTATATGTATATGTATATGTGTATGTGTATGTGTATATGTACGACTTATATATATATATGCACATAAATATGAATACCTATGAGTTATATGAGTTTGATACAAGTTATATAACATGATTGGGATTTCCCCAATGATGACGAAGACGACAATCAATCTGACATAACATCATATCACCATGTGTACAAAGCAACCCTGACAAAGCCAAACACCTTGCATAAACACACATGAATAAACCAGTGAATCTAAAAATATTTCGACTATACAAAGGTATTACATCTCAAATTGATGCTGATGATGTTGATGATGTTCGGGAAGGATAACCACCAATCTGCTGTAGGCATGCGGACCAAGTAAATGATTAGAATGACGAAAACACTAAAATCAGGATAAACAAATGTTTTTCTACCCCGAACGTGGGCCATGAAACTATCGTGGGGCAAGCCAAAACACACAATGTGAACATAAACCCCTGAAAACCTCCGGATGCATACTCTACAACTTGTAACATCTTGTAACTAATGTAATTATCTTTTGAACATCGAATTTCCAACCGGATTTGCTTTAGGGCACACGAGTCGCGGGTTTGCCGACACGAGTGGCGAAGCCGGAAATGAGCTTTGACCTGCCTTCCAACTTCCGTCTCCATTGCGCACAAGAAACACACGCATGTCCACTGTTGATGCCAAGGGACAAACTTGTCGGCCAAATGCGAGATGAACCTGCGCCGACGACATCCTACGACATCTGTGTCTCTGCGAAAGTGTCGGAACATGGCCATGAATATCATGAATCTGTGAAAGTGGGACACATCGACCGGCGTGTCTTTTTGCAGGGCCTTTCCAGCGGCTCATACCTCCCCAGCCTAGCCTCCTGTAGCGACTCCGTAGACCACAAATGCCTGGGAATTCTCGGGTTTGGACCCCAGAATGTGGAGCCATGATGTCCACCTTGTGGTGAGCTTGGCTAAATCCACTTTGTTCTGCACCCAGTCCGTTCGGTGCAACAATGGATGCCCCCTGATTTGTGAGGAAACATCGCGTGGCTCCTTGCCTTGTGCGTTTTCGCAATCTTCGAAGAAATGAACATGACTCTTTGGAGATCTAGGGATGACTTGAGGATTCCCAGCATGGCTTCAGATAACTCCTATCACCCTAGAAAATTACTATCATGTGTTCTAACTCCTAAATCATATACTGGACCAGCAAATTTCATCTCACTGTGGGCGTTCTTCATTGGAGGTCAAACGAATTCGCCAAAAATGAATATTAGCACTTCCTTCTTGTCGATCAGTTGAATCCTCAAAAGCAAATTGCTTTTCCACTGCCATAGACCTTTTGAGGGGTATCAAAGGGATCTTTCTTTTTTGGGACATGATATACTTGTTGGTCGATCCTTCACTCCAGTAGATTAGATGTCCCCAAAACTTGCGTATAGCAGCAAGACCCCAAACATTGCTGATTTCATCTGATTTCTGTGATCCTTGAAGTTAGCACATGGTTCGCAGCTTGGAGACCCCCATGAACTCTCCCAGCTCTGTGTGAAATCACCAAGCTACCCATGAATCCAAACTTCACAGATCATTCAGATCATATCACCATGTGGGCATGGGTCAACTTGGTACGTGGGTCAAATTGGATGTCCAACCCAAATAAGTTCGCCATGATGAGCCATGCCTCCATTTTGACCAAAAGACAGGCTAAACATTCAATCGTATTTTGCCATACGGAACATGATTTACAATGATGTACAATGATGTACATGTATGTCGTCCATAAACCACTGGCCATGGCAGGGAATCCAATCAGAGCAGTTGTCCGAAAAGTAGCCCCCCACTGTGCCCCCACTGACGAAAAACAACCCCTGGCACTCCGTGGTTCAGTTTACTCCGTTGACGTCAAGGCACAAGGACTTCGAGGCGTCGCCAAAACCTGACGTGGCGTGATCGAACTGGGGAAAACCGGAAAACCTCAAAGGAGATTTCAGATGCCCGTGAGGTGCCCATGAGGTGCCCATGACAGGAACGCTTTCATCCAAAATGGCCCATGGGACATCATGGGACCTCCAGGCCACCGGCCGCCCATCTTGTGGCCCAGTCACAATACCAGACTGCCAGCAGAGGCCAGTGTGGACACCAGGCGATGCCTTGAGGTTTCCACCGGAGTTGACGGCTTCTGACAGCTTCTGACTTTTTGTATCTCTGTTACCTTTTGACACCTACAGTCCTAAAATCTTCCCTGTTGATTTCCAGATGCCATTAACTCCCAAAAGGGGCGCTGAGGCAGATCTTGGCAGATCCCACGATGATCCCCATGACGATATCGCAGGGCCTTTCACCGAGAAAGTTTCCTCAAGAGTCTGAAGGCCATCGCTTCCTGCGACAGGGCACGAACCCTGCCGCATTTTTTGGAACTTCACCCACTATTGGGTCATTTCGTGGCCTTGGGATATAACCAGCTTACTCATTGGTCACTGAGAGCATCTCAGATAGAATAGAGATATGGTAGGTAGAGAAATCATATCAAATGCAATCTCATGTCTCCATTTTTTGCACCAGAAACTAAAGGCACTAAGTTTTCGAACCCAGACCCGTCGAAACATTGATCTAAGGAAAATTGTTATGTTTTACAGACCCGAACGTGGGGCAAATTTGGAGTGGCGGCTAGCATCATTTCGCTTGAGGATTTCTGGTGACTTCGGTGTGAGGTTCCTTAAACTTGTCCCGATTGATGTTGAGCGTTCCAATCCGAAACTTGGAAAAACTCACTAAAAACATGTATATAACATGTATCACACCATGGGTTCAATACCCATCCGATCCATCCCCATCTCACCACGCCCGACATCTCCTCGCCACAGCCGCCAGCTGCGCTCCTGGCGCTGCCACAGCGCCAGGTGCTGCACTGAAGGCGACCAGCATAGCTGCGGCATGCGGCGAAAGCCTCGCAACTGCAACCAACAACGAACATAAGTGATTTTGCGATCTCAGAACATGAGGCTTTAACCTGCCCATAATAGGGATATATATATATGTGATATATTATGGGATATAATCAATATATCAATGATAATTGTTAAGTATGTCTTTTTAATCAATGATGCCAGATGTCCGGGGTCACCCTGATGTGCCTAAGCCTCTTGCGGGGTCACAGCTCACTTGTCACTCAAAACTGGAGCATCATAAAATCCTGACTGATTAAAACACATCCTGTATCAAAGCCTGTATCCACACAGCCGGTGTGAGGAGCTCGTCAATTTGTTGGTAAAGCATTCCTGGTCTTTGTTCAATGCCCTTTTCCGTCCTAGTTAATCTGATTCATCTCCAATTTTTACCAGTTTTTTCAAGCTAAACATCCACCTTTTCTCTGCTGACATCTCCATTCCGCCATCTCGCGCCCAGGCACCATGCTCCAACAGGGCCACCTCCACGTAGCCATTCTCCTGCAGAGCTTAAGGGTTCAAGATCTGCAAAACTGGTTGATTTTAATGAAAAGAACGTGGGGGTGCCAAAAAAGGGGTGGAAATGGTTTGATATCTATCTATCAATATATCAATCTAATCAATCTAATCTATCAATCTAATCAATCTAATCTATCTAATCTATCAATCTATCAATCTATCAATCAATCAATCAATCTATCTATCTACCTATCTACTTAAAACGGAAGAAGATGAACTTGATGTAATGGGGGAATACAACTCATCCAAAACATTCCCAGTAGTTTGTTGCTCAGAAAAAACATCCTTCCTCCTAGGTTTCACAAAGACTCGACAGTAAATTTTGCCAGAGTCAACTTGATTGGGATGTGAATACATATTCGACATATCTAAATTTTGATGGAAACAAGAAGTACATGGGAAAACAACAGGTTCCAGGCAGTTCCAGGCTGCACCATAATTCTAATATATATTATATATATATGTGGCAGGGACCTTTGGGGTCTATTTCGTTCCTCCTCGCGCAAACGTAATCAAACGTCATTCTATATGCATATATACTATATACACAAGTAAATATGTCTACATGTGTGTGCAAGTTCAACAGAAAGTCGCAATTTTTTCCCTTGCCCCTCAACCTGCGCAGCGTCCGTTTTCTGCTCCAAGAGATGCTGTCACCAGCACGCGCGAACGCACGCCAATTTGAACTCTGGGCAGAAGAGTCCTCCAGTGTCAATTGTGTTGCTTTCCATCCCTGCAAGCTACAAAGTTTTGGAACATGCAAGTTTGGGACTCTTGTGCGCTCATGCATGGGAATGTTTTGGTTGTCAGGAGTTTGTAGTTGCAGTTGCAATCTTAGTATTAAGCATAGTTTTATAGAAAAAACCTTAAAGGAACCTCATGGGCATGTAACACAAGCAACAAAGCAATGCAAACATGTTCCACCACTTCCACCTGTAGTGATGAAGAGGGAGGGTGATGGCGGCCAACCCCCTTCATTTTGTCATACTCATCACTTCATTGTTTTTGGCCCCGCTGTCGTCCCCTCTCAGGATCCTTTGAATGAAGAAGAGTTGCAAAAGCAGACCTTGGACCTCTTGGTGAACTTTGCATACAGGCTGCAGATGGATGGCCTGATGCCTGACCTGCCAGAACAGCCACCAGGTGAGCCCAGTAGTGGATCTGGTTTTCTGCGAGAAGTGGAAGGTTCTAAACCCAAACACCCAGGTGCACCACTACTTGAAGCTTCTATGGCAATGGCACCTGGCCCAAGTCCAGGTATCTGCGCGTCTTCACCAGCCAGTGCAACTACGGTTTTGCCAGTTCAACCTGATGTTGGTTTGTTGGCACCTGCCACTCCTGAAGTACCCCTCTGAGGCTTCAGCAGCATGCATCCCCAAAGAACTACCTGGTCCAGTTCCAGAAGCAATGGGGGAGGTTGACCTGTACTCCTGACCAGGTGAAGAAGCTTCTTTATTGCACCAAACAAAAAGGCTCTCAAGCTTCGACTGGGCCGTCCTCTACTCAAGATGTATCTGATAGGAAATTCATACATTTTCTCAAGCATCATATGTTTCTATGGTTTTGCTTTCTGTGTGGGATTCAAGTTTCTTGATCTATGCATTTAGTATTGTTCATTCTCAGGTACCAGAGTTCGTGCCTCCTCGAGGAACTTCTAGTGGAGGTTGGTTCAGGAAAGTTTCTGGGCTAGTAGTTGCTTGGAAGCTTGGAGAAGCGCACAGGATGAGATGCCTACTATAACGATGGGAAGAGGTTTCACGGGTGAAGGCGTATGTGGCAGCTTTGGTGGGCTACGTCAAAAAGTGTGGATGGCAAAAGAACTTGGAGGGTGAGTATGGCTTGAACACTTGTACTCGCCTAAGATCTTACTGACTCCAGCAAAGCCTGGGTGGTTAAAAAAAACCTTATATCAAACTATCAAACAGTAAGAATTTCAATTCTGTTTCTAAATTGAAAATAAAGCAGTCGCAATTTTCAATTCGGAAATCGAAATTGAAAATCCAACAGTCACCATTTCAATTCAGAAATTTAAATTGAAAATCAAACAGTCGCCATTTAAATTCAGAAATCTAATAGAAAATCAAACATTCACCATTTCAATCAGAAATCTACCTTGAAAATCAAACGATCACCATTTCAATTCAGAATTCCAAATTGAAAATCAAACAATCTCCATGTCAATTCAGAAATCTAAATTGGAAAACAAACAGTTGGCATTTCAATTCAGAACCTTAACTTGAACCTACAATAGTATATTTTTCAGATTTTGATATTAATTTGGTTTACTATTTGGCACAACTATCAAAAAAATAATGTAGTTTTTACATAAGCAGCCTTTAGGGCTTTCATTTTTTTAGCCAAAAAGCACATTGATGCTTTCATTTTTTGAAGCTGTCACAAGTATAGCACATTGATGCTTCAGGTTTTGGTGTTCCATTAGTGCATCAGACATGTGTCCTTTGCATTTTTCTTGTCAAGGTGTAAGCTGTCAGGATGTCCAGTAATAGGGGTCAGGCACGGGGTTCAGCCACTGATCCAATGGTATCTCGACAGTTTCAAACCTGGACCTCATCCAATGGATGGAAGAGCCTCTGGTATGTCGAGATTCATCAATCAGGTTTTGATTCTTGGTTACCAGGTTGAAATTCATCATGTTTTTAAAGCATACGGGAACTCAGGTAGTATGAGGATAGACGTAAACAAATTGCTCGCTTGCTCAGGCAGGATGCTCTTGAGCACTTCAAGCAGAATGAAGGCCCACATCTTTTGCCTGCCAGCCTGAAGAACTTGATCAAAATCAGTTACATGTTGGCTGGGGTCCCTGTTCCTTCTGGCGATGCTATCTGCGCCTGATAGCTGCAGCTGTATGCCCATAGTGCATGGAAAGCCTGGATGAAAACATACTTGGGTGGAATCAAAATACTGTGGGGGGAGAAAAAATATTAAAAAAAAACACCATGTGGTGTACTTGTTTTCTTCTGGCCCAGTGGCCTTTCCTGCTATTTTGAAACTATTGTGGTTTATGCCCAAGGGGCTTTCATGTAAAGGTCCAGGGTTGGGTATGAGAGCCCACTGAAGTTTATATGCTTCTAACCTTAAAGGGTCCCAGAACCCATTCCCACCGACTCTTGCTACAGGTTTTGCTGATAGGGCTTTCATTTTATTTTGTAAACTAAATTGTTTCTGCCCAAAGGGGCTTTCATGTAAAGGCTTAAACTCCTTTATCCCATGCCCAAAGGAGCTGTCATAATTCTAACTTTGAAGGTTAGCAGAATCAATTCTCTTCTGCTTCTGCTGCAGTGGGCCCATAGGAATTGTGGGCTCACCTTAGCCTAGATCCTTTGATCACCATGGCTACTTGGGACGTTGAGGACTTAGTCAAGGAGATTAGTGATATGGAAGCGATTTACCAAAGGAACGCTGGTTCACAGCTGGTGCCACGAATGCAGGAAGCTTTGCAGTCCAAAGTGAATGGTGTCCAAATGCTCGCTGCTTCTAACTTCTTGAAGCGTCCTGATGCTGTTCAAAATGGCATCTTGACTGCTGACACGAAGGCAGAGTTGCAAGCATTTCTCGAATCAAGGGCAGCCTCTTCAATCAAAGCATGACCACGCCTTGGAACTACCTGTCCCAAAGCGAATGGCAGCAGATGCAGAATGGCATCAACACAGTTGATGCTACCCACATGCTGATCAAAAGAATCAAAGTGTGTGGGTTGAAAAGCCTCAAAGAAGACACCAAGAAGTACTTGACATCCTTTTTGGTCAGCCTTCAGGTGAAATCACCAATGTCTTGCCTCCAGTTTTTGACATGTACAAATTTTGTGCTGGATACGTTCGAGGCTGTGGTGGCTCAACCTCTGCATGCTGGTTTGGCAAGGTACCCACCTAGCCCCCACGACATTGGGGAGGCACTGGGTTTGTAGAATCTTTGGTGATGGCTGCTTTCAAGCTGATAATTTTGAAGTCAAAATTTAGCCATGACATAATCCCTGAACACACACACATGGACACGTATACATATTTCCATTTGAACATAAACACTTGCAGGCTTTCTGCTTGCTCGCTACCAGTCATATGATAAACCTTGGAAGCATTGCCAAGAAAGTCACGGTGAGCGGAACTGCCAAGGAACTCAGGGCTGTGGCCACTCCACAGGCAACCTCTCAGCAGTTGCCAGCAGAGCCTTCGACAGGGAAAGATCCTACAAACAGTATGGTGACCACCCATCTCTTTGACATGATGGAGAAACAGGCCAGAGCTTTGGATGCCTTGAGCCAGAAAATCTTGAACAATGATAGCTTGGAGAAGCCTCCTTCCAGCAACTCCTTGCTCTCAGATGGGGCCGGCCCAAGGGACTCCTGACTCCCAAAGCTTTGCCGGCAGTTCCAGCTGTTTTGCCTCTACCTGCACCTTCTGACTGTGCTGCACCTGCTGGAGGAAATGATGGCACCCAGGCAAAAGCCTTGAGGACTATGAAGCTGAGGCCAAACACATGCTCACCAAGAGGAAGGGCAATGATTTGGATACTGCCATGAAGAGGCCAGCTTCTAAGAAAACCCTAGCCAAAGCAGAGCCCAAGCAAAAGGCCATTGTGAAGAAGAATGCTGAGGAAGCAAAGCATGTCACACCAGCTTTCCTCAAAGGAATCTATGGATGTGTGAGATGCCGTGGCAGTGTGAGTGGCTGTGACAAGTGCCAGTCTCCCTACTTTGGGGGGACTCAGTCTCAGTTCAAGACAGGAATACAACAACTGGTAACAAGAAAGGCAGCAGGGGAACAAAAGGAAGTGTAAATATTTCCTTGGTCAGACAAAAGATCGTGGGCTGCCTTGTGGTAAATAACCATGCAAACACAGCAATGGTAAATCATACAGGCAGTGGGGGAAAACAGAAACGCTTAGGCTTTCTCTTGACATACTTATCTAGACATATTTTCCAGCATGAAAGTAAGTGACCACTAACTTGCAGTGCTGCCCTTGGTTCTGCTTGTTGTTTTTCAGTTTTGGCTTCAAGAGCTATCATTTGAAATCCGTTTGCCTGCAAGGGCTTTTTTGTTTGAATATGTTTGAATCAGTAGCACAGCATTGTGGGCACAGCTTTCTGCAAGGCTACTGCATGAAGCAAGGCCTGGCCCAAGGCAATGTGTGCCAAATCTGCAAATGACATATTTGGAGGCCATGTTAGCAGCAGGTTCCGCAGCAGGCCATGGAACACTAGTTTTTGCCTTTCACACAGTCATACTCCAACATTGTCCAAGATTACTTTTATCACCTTTCTGCAAAGAAATGCTTCCAGCCAGCCATGCCAGACTTTCCAAAATTGCAAAGTTTTAAACAGAGAATCCCATTTTGCAGCCAGTCAGCCCTGGAAGCAATATTGACTTTGGCAGCCCAGGAAGGCATTCCTGCTAGTCACAAAAGGAAACAAATCAGAGAGTTTGTTGAGCAGGTCATTGCTGGCCTTCAGCTATGATTTTGGGAGAGGACCCTGTGGAATTGGCATTTGCCAACATCTTTAACTATTTGGCTGGTGCTTATGCAGCTGGTGGCTGCTTTGCGGATTATTTGACAAGGTACATGACAACAACCCTGGTTCCTTCAACAACCCTTGGTCTTGCATTCTTTATGTAGATGAACTGCACCCTGGCAACCAATTGGCAGGGAATTCTAGGAATACATGGGCAATTTACTGTTCATCTGCCCAGTTTGGGGCCACGCTGTCAAATTCTGAAAGTTGGTTGACATTGCTCGGGAAGAGGAGTGAGCAAGTCTCACAGCTGGCAGCCAGCATTGGCCAATGTTTCAGGTTGATCCTGGAGCACATGTTTGACAACAAATATGCTCATCCTCATTCTGAGGTACTTTTACAGGGAGGTCTTAAAAGACTGAAACTCTCTGTTGGATGTTGCAACAGACCAAGAAATCCTGTCCTCGTGGGCAAGGATGCAAGAGTGCAACAAAACCGAGTTAAGAAGGTGGAGCCAGGCTTCTGGGGTTGATTATTCCCAGCATTCACTCTTGCTGAGTGACAAGCTGAAGTCCCAGAACCTTCTGAGACCAATCACCCAATACATGCATGATTATATGCATGGGCTCTGCCCAAATGGTGTGCTGAACTAGGTATTTGTTTTTGTGGATCCAACCGCTTGCTTCCAGTGGTGTGGCTGAGATTTGGAAGGCACATGGCTTTGTGCAACTTTGGGCCCAGCCTGCCATTCACAAATGCAATTTGAAAAGGCTATTTCTGCCCAAAGCAGTGGAAGGCCACAAAAAAGCTGGGAAGTTCAGATGCATCCTCAGAGATTCTGGGTCTGTACCAGGTGCTGGCACACTATGTCCAAATTTGTTGCTTGCCTAATGGCATTTGTCTTCTGGGGTCAACTTGCTCTTTGGCTTGGTGCAAAGTTTTGGACTATCGCCTATCCATCCCTGATTTGGAAAAGCCTGACTACAAGCAATTGCTTTCATTTGTTGAAGCAGCATTGGAGGCAACTGTTGCAGCTGACTGGTCGGAAGAATTCGAGCCAAAGATGCACTGGTCACTTCATATTATAGTCAAAGTCTCCAGAGGCATGGCCAATTACCTGCATGCTGGACCATGGAAGGGAAGCACAAAGGCACTAGAAAACATGGGAATGTCTTGTGCAACACTACCTATTGGGAAACTTCTCTGAGGAAGTCTGTCATTGCAGGGCACATCTATACATTGGGTGAAGAGTCAAGACTGTTTAGAGAAGGCACCTGCCTACAAAATGCAAAGGGGGCCCCACAAAGAAGATGACGGCATTCCTATGCAATGCTGGCGTGGTTCCTGTGGGAATGCCTTGCATGCAGAGCTCTCGTTGTAAACTTTTTTCTGGGGCAACAATTACTTCTGGTGATGTTGTCTGTTTGCACAATGTGGATGGAGGCTCACCAGCTGTCAATGCAGCTCAAGAGCATTGCTTTTTGAAAGTCCCATGTGGTGATGTGGCCCTTGTCGAAAAATATTTGTTCCTGGAAATTTCAAACAAACATCCGGGTGTTGCTTCTTTACAAGAAATCTCGTGTGCTGTCACAACAATGCTGCCAAAGGCAGGGTGAATGCCTCCAAGCCTCATTCTTGCAACTTTGAAGGAATGCAATTCCATCCACAGCCAAAATGTCGTGGAAACTGAACCTGGCTCTGCACCAAAGCCTCCCGGAACCTTCTCCGGAACCTTCACCAGAACCCTGTTGAACCTAACCTGGCTCTGCTCCAAAGCCTCCCGGGACCTTCTCCGGAACCCCGGAGCCCTGTTGAGCCTGACCTGGCTCTGCACCAAAGCCTCCCGGAACTTTATCCGGAACCCTGTTGAACCTACCAAAAGGCTCTGGAGGATTAAAAGGATTAAAAGGATCAAATCATTTAATCCTTTTAAACCGTTTAATCCTTTTGATCCTTTTAATCCTCCAGACCTCCCAGAATCCCAAGAAAAGCCCAGCAATTTAATTCTTTAAATCCTTTTAATCCTTTTGGACCGGGAATTCCGGACCCCCTGGAGGATTAAAAGGATTAAAAGGATTAAAAGGATTAAATCATTTAATCCTTTTAATCCGTTTAATCCTCCAAAAGGCTCTGGAGGATTAAAAGGATTAAATCCTTTAATCCTTTTAATCCGTTTAATCCTCCAAAAGGCTCTGGGGGATTGAAGGGATTAACTGGATTTAAATATATTTCTCAAGGGCTTGGGCCGGGAATTCCGGACCCCCTGGAGGATTAAAAGGATTAAAAGGATTAAAAGGATTAAATCATTTAATCCTTTTAATCCTTTTAATCCTTTTAATCCTTTTAATCCTTTTAATCCTTTTAATCCTCCAGACCTCCCAGAATCCCAAGAACAGCCGAGCAATTTAATTCTTTAAATCCTTTTAATCCTTTTAATCCTCCAAAAGGCTCTGGAGGATTAAAAGGATTAAATGGATTTAAATATATTTCTCAAGGGCTTTGGCCGCGAATTCCGGACCCCCTGGAGGATTAAAAGGATTAACAGGATTAAAAGGATTAAATCATTTAATCCTTTTAATCCTTTTAATCCCCCAAAGGACTCTGGAGGATTAAAAGGATTAAAAGGATTAAATCGTTTAATCCTTTTAATCCTTTTAATCCTGCAAAAGGCTCTGGAGGATTAAACGGATTAAAAGGATTAAATCATTTAATCCTTTTAATCCTTTTATCCTTTAATCCTTTTAATCCTCCGACCTCCCAGAATCCCAAGAAACGCCCAGCCAATTTAATTCTTAAATCCTTTTAATCCTTTTAATCCTCCAAAAGGCTCTGGGGATTAAAAGGATTAAAAGGATTAAATCATCTAATCCTTTTAATCCTTTTAATCCTCCAAAAAGCTCTGGAGGATTAAAAGGATTAAAAGGATTAAATCATTTAGTCCTTTTAATCCTTTTAATCCCCCAAAAGGCTCTGGAGGATTAAAAGGATTAAAAGGATTAAATCATTTAATTCTTCAAATCCTCTCAATTATCCAAAAGGCTCTAAAAATTATCAGAATTAACCGGAACAAAATGGTACCTAAAGGTCTCTCGATCATATATATATATATTAATTATGTATATATATATTATATATATATATTAATTATGTATATATATAATATAATTATTCAGCATCTTTTCCCCATCGATCCAGCGCCTTTCCCAATAGCTCCGTCCCATCATCGCCTCTTTCCGCAGGAGCTGCAGCTTGCCCTCCAGCCCTGTGCTGGCCAAGTACTTTCCATCCGTGGACCACGAAACCTGGCACCGCAAAACGAAGGGGACGCGATTGAAGCAGTGAAAATAGGGAGATTCTGTGAGATGAACACCACAAAGATAATTTATAGTACATATTATAGTATATTAAATTATAGTATATATATATATTATATTAAATAAATTTAAAGTATATATCACATCTGATCAGAACCTGAAACATGCAGAAACGAAAGTCAAGAACATCTGACATGTCGTCACTGTGGTCAACCTGCTCCTGCTAAATGCCAGTGTCTTCCGGCCAATTTCACAGCTATTCCTACACTTCAGCCTAGCTGGCTGGCTTTCATAGTGAACCCCCAAAGTGAACAGAGTCTGCTGGGTCGAATCGGAAGACACATCTAGCTACAGCTAAAAAAAGTTTCAGGAATCTGCAAAGGTGGACTTTGCACATCGATGTTCATTTTTTCTGGACAAAACAATACCTAAACAATCCTAAACAATCCTAAACACGTGTCCGTCAACAGATGATAATTTCTTCTCTCTTTCTATTCAGCAGTCGTTTTCACACTGATTCTACCTGTGTGACATACACTCTGACAATGAACCACAAGGGAACGCTCCCCTCCTGTTGAAACTGGATTTTCCATGTTTGAGGCACCTCACCACGTTCCATGCCACGGGCATCTGAGCGGAGGGGCAGCTGCTGAGGCACCTGCCAGAGGTTCTTGGGCATTTGAGGATCAGTTTCAATAACAGACTTGGATCTAGCTATATCTAGCTATATCTAGCTATATCTAGCTGCCTTGGCAATTGAGTATCCATGGTATCCAATGCGGACACTTTCGACATATTTCCTCCGACTCTCCCAGCGCCTTGGGCGCAAAGGCATACAGGGTGGCACCGCAGGTCGATGGCTGTCGCAACAAGACACCGAAGCCATCGCGTGTGACCTGATCAGCGAACATTGATTCATATATTTTGGCATGGTTGGGTATAGAAATATACAGAAATATATGTACATACACGCGTACATACGTTTACATTTAAAAGGGTACATCATCTCCAAGTAAGAAAACACGTGATTTATAGTTGAATGTGCGATCTTTATGTATATAGATTCAGGCCTAGTCTATCTATTTCAGGATGGCTACGATTGGAGGAGGTTACTTGCTCCATACTATACCATCCATCACAGGAGTTACACTGTGAATCTGCAAGGGTCCGTCACAATTACTTTTCTAGCAATTCCTGCATCTCACAAGGTATTCCTACATCACCTCTCCCCATTGATGAAGTATTGTTATCTCCTTTGTTGGCCATGCGCAACCATTTTCCATCCTACCATGGATAGATTGCCCCCGCGGTTCGCTGGGCTAGCAAGGGTGCGGCTCAAATCCCGAAATGGGGGCACCACCAACAAAAACAATATTGGCTATACAGTATACATGTCAACCAAAGGTTCTGTAGCCAGTGATTTTGGCAGTTTCAACCACATCTCTTACATACGAGTAGATGATTTCCTCATTGCTTCTCGCGGCTCTCCGTGCTAGGTCTGAAACTTCTTGTACCCAAAAGATTACAAGTCAGGTAAAGACGTTTTTTTTGCATGTATACAGTACTGCATACACATTTAAAAATCATACCCACATCATAGCCATGAAGTTTTGTTGTAATGGTTGGACAAGCGGACAAAACACCATGAAAAACCGGTCAGAATCTCACCAGCACTTCCCATGACATCACCCTGTGCCTTGACCCGTGCTTGTGGCGGTGCATCGAAGCGCCACAGCTCCGACAACGCCATGGCGCAACATGGCAGCTGAGATTCGTTGGTTAATGGTTGATGTTGAATGCTTCAACATGTTTCAACCTTGACCCTGTGAAATGTTGTAACAGGGGGGAAGGAGATTGGAAAAAAAAGGAAGACCAAAATGGAGCATTTTGCTATCAAGGCTCCAGGTCTCAGGCGGCCTCACTTGTTGCCAGATATGAACCAGTAAAGTAGTTCTGGATTCTGGATATTTTGGATATTTTGGATTGTGGGTATGTGCTTCACCCACGGGTTTGTTCAATTTTTTTGGATTCCATCAGCTGGGTCTATGCTGGCAAGCTGTTCTAACACCGAAGGCGGCAACATGGTGTGAATCCATCACTGAACAGATCTTAAACTCCAGCTATGAACATGAAAACCAATCAGGGGTCATCTTCACGAGAAAATGCTGTGAGAACAGAAACAAAAGAAACGAACGTTTCAATTTCAGGACCTGTTCTGTGATGCTGGCCACATCGCCTTTGAGATCCTTTGAGTACTTAATCTGGAACATGTAGACTACTGCTATGCTACTTCCAGCCACCTACCTGAAAACGAACGCCCACCCAGCGCTTGAAAGGGGGCGTACTGGAGTGCCGCCGCTTTACTCGGAGATGCATGGAGTCCTGCCCAACGTATTGGTCAACATTGACAACAAAATAAGACTGACATAGACTGACCTACGCACTTCATCAGTCTTCACCAAGAATCTATGAAGTGTGCTGGTTAACTCTTTGATAGTGGCTTGGAACCCCTGACCCCCAACATCAACTTCTCAATCGCTCCATCCAGCCAGTTTCAAACATTGAGCCACACCCGCATGTTTCTTCTACAAGAATGGGAAGGCCAAAGACAGGGTGTTCACGCTCAAAAAACACTTGTGGCATCACTATTGGGTGCGGACCATTTGGACACCTTCATGATATAATGATGAGTCAAACTCAAGCCCCGCAAGACTGGATTGTTGATACCACAAACGATCCACAAACGATCAACATATGATAAAATATGTGGTTCCAAGCCGAAACACGCTTTTGATTCAAACACAAGTATCGTTGCTGCAATTCCGGGTAACATTTCCATTGGTTACTTTGGCCCCTTTTCATATCTCATCTTCGACAATCTTTTACATGCTCTGCAAGCTTTACTTCTAGAAGGATAGTCAGTGTATTCTTTTATAAACATGGTTGGTGATACCGATTTACCGAACTCACCCAAAAATGCGCGGCTTTTGTGATGGTTTACTATGTTTCATACTAAAAATGGTCAACTTTAGCTTGACCCAGTGGCTTGACCCATCTGGCATCGGTCATGCGGCGTCATCACCCCGGAGAAGCTTTGCGGTGCCGCCATGGCGTCGTTGCGCCCGCGGTCGCCCCGGATGTCTGCTGGATGTCTGGGCCAAGAGGAGACCGTCGTGCCATGCCACATTGTCAAATGAAGATTGCGGGACTAAACAAAAAAAAAACGCACACACACACATGTATATATATATATATGGGGTTGTCCTAAATTACTGTTCCCACAAAGGCCTCTTGGGCCGAGCTTGCGCCAACCTTGCGCGTTTCTTGCGCGACCACACTCCCGGATCACTTAGTAGTAGTAGTAGTAGTAATAGTAGTAGTAGTAGTAGTGGTAGTGGTAGTGGTAGTGGTAGTGGTAGTGGTAGTGGTAGTGGTAGTAGTAGTAGTAGTCGTCGTCGTCGTAGTAGTAGTAATCAACATGTTAATTAAAAATAGTACTTGTAATAATGATAACAATAGTACTTGCGCGTACCTTGGGCCGCCCTTGCGCAAAACTTGCGCGATGCAGGTTTTAGACCATGGGAAAAATGCGAGAATAGGTCCTTTACTAAAAACCTTTCTGGGGTTTTTGGACGGCTCCCAATAATATATATGTATATATGTATATATATATATATGTATATATATATGGTGCAGAGTTGGCCACCCCCCCCTCCCCCACCACCAATGGGTATGGGTGGGACAGTATCGTCCCCCTTGGTTCTTCTGCACCCCCCCCATGTGGCTGTGGTGGTGGTATGGTTTCTTCTGGTCCCCCCCCCCTGGCCTGTTGGTGGGTGGTATGGTTCTTCGGGTCACCCCCCCCTGTGGCATGTGTGGTGGTATGTTGGTATGTGGTATGTGTATGTTGGTATGTTGGTATGTAGGTATGTATGTATGTATGTATGTAGTAGATGTATGTATGTACGTATGTATGTATGAGATGAATGAAGGTAAGGTAAGGTAATGTAAGGGAAGGTAAGGTAAGGTACGGTAATGTAAGTAATGTAATGGTTATGTATGTATGTATGTACGTATGTCGTAGGAGGGATGTTGTATGTAGTATGTATGGAATGTAAGGTAAGGTAATGTAAGGAAGGTAATGTAAGGGTAAGGTAATGTAATGGATATGTATGTATGTATGTATGTATGTACGAGGTATGTAAGAGGTAGGTAGGTATGTAGGTATGTATGTATGATATACACCACCCACAGGCGGCATCATACCCCCCCCCCATCCATGGGGGGGGGGGGTGGGAACAGGAAACGGGACCATATATATATATATGTATATATATATATATTTATATATATCATGGAAATATGGTGATTAATAAGTGGTTTATCACTTATAATTGAGGTCTAAAGTGGATTCATGATGTATGCGATGGGATTACAACTCCTTGAAGTTGCCCTGGATTTCGTTCCGATCAACTCCGATCGGCCCCAAGTTGTGGATGGGCTGATATAACCCCACTATCTGACGGCGGCACAACATATATCCAGTCATGACTTTCTCAGCGGTTTATCCTATGTGATCAAACATGACGGCACATGACCGATGATTGTAGATTATTTTCCCAACTGCTGGAAAATAGATGAAAATCATAAATAGTCGTTCTTCACTGGATTGGATTAGCTGAAGGTAGAAGTCAACGGATGATCCGAGAAGTGCAAAGCAACGAGCTGTTCGTACGTCGGGGTCTTTCGGTTCAAGCGTCTTTTTCCAACTCGTGCACGGCATCTGGTGGTGAAACATGGAAGCGGAAAGAAGACACTTGCACAAACGATATTTTTACATCATACATTGATTTTCACGTCAGTTTGCGTATGTTGCAGTAAACTCCAGGGGTACCAGGTGAAGTTCCAGGCTACTGGCGCATTTCTTAGGTACATCATAATACATCTTGTCTTTTGAAAACCCACCACACTGTAGCCGCTGACATATTTGGCCCCGCACTCACCACAGAAGCCATGCCTGTGAAGGGCAGGGTCCCCGCCAGCGGACTAAGAGATGACATCGGATGACCATTGGATTTTCCTATCCCCAAATCGAAATGAACCTACACATTTAGAAATGTTCGGAAATGAATGGTGATGGGACAGCTCCCATTTTTTTCAGGAACCACATCCAAAGACGGCAAATATCAAACATCGTTAGACCCATGCAATGATCAGCGAGATCTATTATGGACCCCCTTGATGCGCCGCAGTTCCAGAAGACCGCGCCAGGGTTCTGAATCACTTAGATGATCTTAGAGGATAGGGTGGTTGCGAAGTGGCTGGTAACTGGACTATAATTTCATTACTCCAATTAAATCGGGTTACTAGGGCACTAGTGGACCTTGTAAAATAAACTTCGGGGCTGAAAAGCGCCAGAAACATCGAGCAAAAAAACATGGGAAGAACTCCTGCTGCCACGATGAAATGTATTCTTTTGTCTTTTTTTCCAAGAAGCTTTTAGATCTTTTTGGGACAAGACGAGGTGCAGAGAGAGATTACGAGTACCAATCTGCTGAGGATGACCCCTTCACTAGTGTCTTTCTCGCAGTCGTGGGATTGTGCAAGGGTTAACTTAGTTAACTTCATGGTGCAAAAATCACCCGATTGGGTGAAGCACACCTAACCGACCTAACCTAACCCCTTCAGGGTTCAGGGGAACTGTGTAAAATGGATCGAAAAAAAAAAGGCCTATACATTCCATGCGGGTCCTGCCGCCCCACAAAGTTGATCGCTTTTTGGAATCGAAAACCCAGCCATTTCCAGGAGCCCACAGGTTACCTGGCCGGTTCCGGTCTCATGCGAATGCCCTTTGTGTCTGTGCGGCTACCGATTTGGTGCGCGAACGTTTTTTGAAGCAATACCATGGGATGTAGACCATGGGTATTAGCAAAATTAGGATCGCTGCAAAGCCAAGGCTGCCGTAGGTTGTCAGGAAGTTGTCACCTGAAGATTTCAAGGAAAAATCTATGCTACGTATCCTGGTTAGTTTCCGGGCATTACGGCTCCAGCAATAGGAGGGTCTCAAAATAAAAATAGTGCATGTCCTCAGAACAAGTCACGGTCCAGCTCTGCAGCCTGCCACAGATCAACAGGGTCGACAAACTTTGCGCAGATGCCCTGGTGTGCAGGGCAAAACCTAAACCAATTCCTGCAACCGCACCGATACACCCCAGAGACTGGATCAAGCTGCGACCTCCAGCAGGGTACTACATCTCCAACTTGGGGCGCATGAGCTGGCGGTCTTTCTGGATCTTCTCTGCAGGACAGTCCGTCTTCTGTGACTCCGTCCTCAAAGACTTCAGAAAAGGAAAGGGTTGGGTCATCCACAAATACACCGTGATATTCTGGGTAGTATCTGCAGAGTCGCGTGCCCGCACTTATGCCGGTGCAACCACTAACGCAATAGCTCTCGAGTTGGAATGTGACATTGGTGATCTTGCAGCCACCAGGCACAAACACGAAATCCTCACGTGGCCCCTTGGCTTCAGCCATCATCGCCAGCACGGGGTCAGCATCGCTGAAGTAGCCGATGGAAGTGCTCAGCAGCATCAAGGGGCCAACGAAGCAGCCCACAGCAGACATGCAGCAACAAACTGATTCACGGGACCAGCGCATGGCAAGGAGCTGAACTAGCTGAGTTCGGGAAAGAATGGGAAGGACCAAGTCTTTTCGATCATTTTTTGGGGTTTCGATCATTTTTTGGGGTCTGCGAAAAATGATTCATCGCCAAACCTCTAAGTTTCTGGATGACACTTAGAGTTTGCAGGCAAAACAAGCTATTTGGTGTATTAAATGCTCTCTGGCAGTATGATGCATTACAACGCAGCCTGTTGCAGGTTGCAAGCCATCAAACTGGTACATTTCCATGGGGATTCAAGCATTCTTGAAGCCAAGAACCAGCTATTCTGCTGCAGACCCATCAGCAAGATATGCTACTTCCAGCCACCTACCTGAAAACGAACGCCCACCCAGCGCTTGAAAGGGGGCGTACTGGAGTGCCGCCGCTTTACTCGGAGATGCATGGAGTCCTGCCCAACGTATTGGTCAACATTGACAACAAAATAAGACTGACATAGACTGACCTACGCACTTCACCAGTCTTCACCAAGAATCTATGAAGTGTGCTGGTTAACTCTTTGGTAGTGGCTTGGAACCCCTGACCCCCAACATCAACTTCTCAATCGCTCCATCCAGCCAGTTTCAAACATTGAGCCACACCCGCATGTTTCTTCTACAAGAATGGGAAGGCCAAAGACAGGGTGTTCACGCTCAAAAAACACTTGTGGCATCACTATTGGGTGCGCAACATTTGGACACCTTCATGATATAGTGATGAGTCAAACTCAAGCCCCGCAAGACTGGATTGTTGATACCACAAACGATCCACAAACGATCAAAATATGATAAAATATGTGGTTCCACGAAACACGCTTTTGATTCAAACACAAATATCGTTGCTGCAATTCCGGGTAACATTTCCATTGGTTACTTTGGCCCCTTTTCATATCTAATCTTCGACAATCTTTTACATGCTCTGCAAGCTTTACTTCTAGAAGGATAGTCAGTGTATTCTTTTATAAACATGGTTGGTGATACCGATTTACCGAACTCACCCAAAAATGCGCGGCTTTTGTGATGGTTTACTATGTTTCATACTAAAAATGGTCAACTTTAGCTTGACCCAGTGGCTTGACCCATCTGGCATCGGTCATGCGGCGTCATCACCCCGGAGAAGCTTTGCGGTGCCGCCATGGCGTCGTTGCGCCCGCGGTCGCCCCGGATGTCTGCTGGATGTCTGGGCCAAGAGGAGACCGTCGTGCCATGCCACATTGTCAAATGAAGATTGCGGGACTAAACAAAAAAAAACGCACACACACATGTACATATATATATATTATATATGTATATATGTATATATATATACATGTATATATATATATATATCATGGAAATATGGTGATTAATAAGTGGTTTATCACTTATAATTGAGGTCTAAAGGGTCTAAAGTGGATTCATGATGTATGCGATGGGATTACAACTCCGTGAAGTTGCCCTGGATTTCGTTCCGATCAACTCCGATCGGCCCCAAGTTGTGGATGGGCTGATATAAGCCCACTATCTGACGGCGGCATAACATATATCCAGTGATGACTTTCTCAGCGGTTTATCCTATGTGATCAAACATGACGGCACATGACCGATGATTGTAGATTATTTTCCCAACTGCTGGAAAATAGATGAAAATCGTAAATAGTCGTTCTTCACTGGATTGGATTAGCTGAAGGTAGAAGAAGTCAACGGATGATCTGAGAAGTGCAAAGCAACGAGCTGTTCGTACGTTGGGGTCTTTCGGTTCAAGCGTCTTTTTCCAACTCGTGCACGGCATCTGGTGGTGAAACATGGAAGTGGAAAGAAGACAACACTTGCACAAACGAATTTTTACATCATACATTGATTTTCACGTCAGTTGGCGTATGTTGCAGTAAACTCCAGGGGTACCAGGTGAAGTTACAAGCTACTGGCGCATTTCTTAGGTACATCATGGATCACCATGGATCATCATCCATCTTGTTTTGAACACCCACCGCACGCACTCCGGCATCAAACCTTGAGCTTGACACCTTGGAAAAATGGATCAGAAGCGGTCCAAAGCTGAGAAACTGAACGAGTCAGGATGGGTTTCTTCGATGGTCCTAATGATGTCAATATATGTTAATGGTAACCATTCTGCCGGTAATCTAGATCATCCCGAAGCTCAAAGTGACGGAGGCAAAACCTCTCTATCCCAAAACATGGGCAAACAAGAGCTACCATCATTTCTGGATTTGGTCCTCATTTTTGTTGGCAAAGTCTGCATATTGGATTGGTGGGTTGATTACGTCATATGACGGGTAGTTGATATTACGGCTATTACGGTATTTTCAAGGGGTTACGAGCTGCAAACGGCTGATCTGGGCCCCCTTGTTTAACATCTCCGAGGGCCGTGCCTTCAGAATGACAGCTGAGGCCTTGGGGACTACGACTTGTGCACGGCTGTCACTGAAGCTGAAGCCCGAAACCGAGACAGACCGAGACAGACCCCCCAGGAATCGAGTCCTTCCAGAGTCATCATCGGAAACGATTCATTGATATTCATTGCCAGGGCACAGTTTGCCAGTGCTCGCCACATGTTTTCGACCTGGGACCCAGGAGCAAACTGATCACAGAAAAGCTTGGATCTTCTCCAATGACGATTTGAATCAAATAGCATGTGTTGGATAGATTCATTGATTCTATTGACACAACTAACTACGGCAAACTTCAAATATTGCGGCCATGTGATGCGTTGGTTCTGTTGCGACACGGATGGCTTTTACGGCTGGTTTTGTATCTCAAAGAAGGGGATCCACATGAAGTTGGGGTGTAATCCTTGTGGATCCAAGAATGACATGATATCGTTTCACAACAGAAATCAACATCAGAAAAAGAAATACAGATCCAATATCTGGTTGCTGAAGTTTCCAATTTGGTGAAGCAAATTCTCATATTTGTTAGTTCAACAGTTCAACATCCCTATCTTTTTTGCTGCTTACACCCCATTTGATTTGTGGAAATACCAACATAGCTCCAGATTCCAGATCGAGTTGGCCATTCTTTTTGACCTTTGAACCGCAAAAGTCTGGGACGCCCAACTCTTGAACATCTTGTCCTGTCTGGAAGGTCTTCTGAGCATTTTTGGGCGACCGCATAGATAGAAGAGTGAGACGAACAAAATAATTAGAGCCATCAACTGCTACAACTTGTTTTTAAATGATGTTTTCAACGTGATTTCACAGAAATGCCGGGCGCTCTTGACAAGCTTGGAAAGAAGAGATATAATATGCACTGATGGGAATGACATAGCCTTTGGCTTCTTCTTGGAGGTCCTGTTTCGGTTGCCAATAGCTCCACTTCAGGGCCAAAAATACAAATCCAGTATGCCGTTGTGCACTGTCAAATGATGGCAAACCATTTACTGTAGCTGCAACATGTTACAACAATAGTTGGGTTTGTTACAACCTCCATAGCACGGTCCCAAGAGGCCGGTGGTTTCCTGAGAGCATCCGATGCCTTTCAGCCGCGCTTGCCTGGGTCCATGGACCGTGGATTCAACGAGAGAGATCAAGCAGCATATGCAACCGTTGCAACCCGATGCAACCAACAAGAATGGAAAGATCTTGACCAAGAAGTGGCGATTAATATGACCACATGGATGAACATAGGGAATCTGATGACCAACAATCATGTCTCAATCAAAGGGATATCAAATGGACGCGTGGTTGCTTCTATTTTGAGGGATAAGCACTCCTTGAAGAAAAACTCGGAAACCAGAGCCCATCAGCAGTTGAAACTTGAAAACCAAAATTGCTTCTGGTCTGTCGAAACCAACGTGTAAATGCATTTTTGTCTCGATGAAGTATGTGAAGCATGTGTGGGTTGTGTGGATTCTGCCCGAATACTTGCAGGAATCACATGGCCCCAAGCAGCTGCGACGTTTGTTGTGCTGCGGAGGACAAACGCGTCTCCTGCCATTGGAAGACGCACATGGCCAGATTTTCTCCAGAGGCATCACACCACATTTTGCCGAACATCCGGAGGGAATATCCCATCCGTGGTATACTAAGCTTTAGATAGCACGAGTAAGAATCCTCATGAAAATAGGCCTATGGCTGGTCAAAAACCGAACAAATCGCCACAAGTTTGCGCATGATAATTGCGTTGGATCTTCCCCATACTTCCCAAGGAAGGTTACAACCAAGCTTGCCAGCTGGTTGGAACCTCTTCTGTCATCAACAAATCCACCAGAACATGATTATGCTGCCATTCCACATGGTGATGTTCCGCCCACATTGGGATTTTTGCTTGGTTGCCAGTTTACTCAACACATCCCATATTATCCTGGTCAGAAAAGGTTACACCGATGGTTTCTTCATGAGATATACCCTGGTTTCTAGCGAGTGTACTTTTCCCCGTCTATTGGCCGGTTCATGATTGGCGATATCTGCCCAAATCCCGCTTATTGACAAGTTGTACCTCATTTTGATTGGTGGCTGCATCGGCTAGATTCGCCACTTCGGTAGGGGATGACTAAACAGGAAACAAGACCAAACTTGGGGCCAATTGGTATCCATTTTCATTGGCTGAAATTAGATACCCATGTTCTATACTATTATACCAAGATTAATGTTTGCTTGCTTGATCTTGCTTGCTTGCTTGTTTTGTTTTGTTCTTTTGTTTTTTTGTTTGTTGTGTTATCTACCCAGTGGTATCTCCGTCCTTCACCCACTTTGACACTTGTGCCTTGTCTCGTATCAGATTTCGAACCTTGTCGAGGCGCCGACCTAAGGGAAGTCAGCCAGGAAAACTTCGAGGAAAGTAGGGATTTTGCAGATTTCTGTGAAGCCCAAATCAGGAGTTACCATAGGACTTTTCCAGTTTTTGTGGAAAGATCTGGCTTTTACTATAGGAATTTTCAACTCGTGTGTTTTTGCTTTAAGAGATTCTTCCATTGTTGTCTGCTGGAAACTGGAGTCGTAACACCCGTCTCTAAATTCCAGCATTTTTTGGAGTTCCCATTCCAAAACTAGCACATCATCTCCAGCAAATGCAAGAACTTGAGAGGTTA